TTTTTAGAAACTGTTGTTGCGTCTTAAAGTTTAAAAAAAGAAAACGCAATTTTAAACAGGCAAGATATTTGCCAGCTACGAAAATCTATATTTGTATGCATGTTTCTTTTATTATTAACCGTTTTTCCAAATTGCCAACAAACGTGCTTCAAGTTTAGTGGACCCTTAGAGCAAGCAACATTCTGCCAGTGTTACGGTCATACTTTTCAACCCTCTCTCGGGGTGTCAAACCGTTACAAGACTTATCTGCTCGGCCCGCCATGAGTTCATATTGTTGGGTGTCTCCCAACCTGGACATTGCTTTTTTCCCTTCAATGTAAGGAAGGAGTACCCTGCCGTTGTAAGTGATTGCATTTTTCAGTGACTTTTTCTATTTCCAGTGTTCAAAAAATAATTTCCCTAACTGCAGCTACAAAAAACGAGCCCTCTAAAGATTTAATCTGGGTAGCCATAGTAGCAACTGAGCGTTTTTTCCTGTTGTTGTAATCGTGTGAAACAAATCAGCTTTAATGTTGTTAATCGAGTCTTAACTTTGAGCTTTCCGACTTCGTTTCTAACTCAAATCTCATAATTGCATGGATTTGTTTGCTCAGCTGTACTGACTTTTAACTGTTGAAAATCTACAATTTATGCGAGGATTATTGTAAAGAGGATTTAAAAATCAGAGAACTCACATACACGCTATTTTGCTCTCATCTGATAATGTGATGAAAAATTCCTGTTTTACGATTGTTTGAGACTGAATTTCTTACATCGACAAGATCGTATATCACTTTTTAACTGGATGATTTTCTTTAATTTATCGCGCGTTGCATTTTGCCACTAAACTAAATTCCAGGGACCCTCCTATGATCTGCTCGCAAATACACGGTAAGGGGCCAAGGAATTATAATGTGCAACCGCGACTGGTGGGAGGGTGTGGGGGGTATGGGGGAGAAGTAATTTGCCACAGAAAAGTCCAACAGTCCTTTTTGAACAGAAGTTAGGACCCCCCCTCCCCCACCCCCCAAACAAAAATTCCTGGATCCGCTCCTGTTACGTTATGTTGGGAATTAACAAAAAAAAAAGAACAGATTTAACCTCATCAGGAATAAAACATGTATCGGAGGGAGAGGAAGAAATTAGAGAGCCGCATTGGTGAAAAACATGCGAACAAAATGATGACTTTGACTCAAATCGAAATATCAAGCGAGTGCGCTTTGAAACTTGTGGAAGCCAAGGCAAACGCCGCAATAGTCAAAATTTAAGCTCATCAGTGGAGTAAAACAATAGAGAAGAGAGCATTCCTTTTAAAATTGTACTTAGAAAGACATTTCAAAACATTTGTCGGGAGGTATTTTCAATAACTTCTTCACAAATTGTCTACTAAACGCGTAAGAGCGCAGCGCGAAACAATCCTGCATCCTTGAACAAAAAGTATACAAAAGCAAAGAAACAATAAAACCTCGAGTTACACAAAAACCAACAATTTTCATCAACTATGGGCTCAGCCGTGGAAGAGCGATAAGGTTAGTTTTGAATTGCGGGTTTTTGAGGAAGACGTGAGCAGAACAAGCTAGTTTATAGAAAACACGTCTGTTTCGAAAATGTCGAGGACAAGTGAGGCTGTAGATTGGAGTCTGGTGTAAGCGCAGTGTTACTCTCTTGCTAAAACGAAACCACAACTTAACAAAGCCAATTCAAATTTTTTTCAAACACTTTTGAGGTGAAAGACACAAAAGCCTTAACGGTTGTTGCAATCTAGATCGAGTCACAATGAGTACTATTTGTTGACCGCCAAAGAGGAATGCTAGGAAGAACAAACGAGAGCCAGTGCAAACTTCCTGATGTAATTTTTTTTACGTAATATATCAACCATGAGATGCAGTGTTTCATGTAATATATCAAACATGAGATGCAGTGTTTCATCTGGTGATGAAACACTGTGTCGAATGTTTGATATTTCTTCTCAAACAAAATCATTTTTGAAGGAGAAATTAAGGATGCAAATACTAAGCAGTGTTTCATCCGATTTCCAAACACTCATTAAACATTAATTTCCTTTGTATTTTCTTAATGAATTATTAATGAGTTTGAGAACACCAGATGAAACACCGAGAAGAGAGTTGAAAATACGACGCGCAGAGGAGTATTTTTGACGAACTTCGAGGTGTTTCATCTATTGATGAAACACCGTGTCGAATGTTTGATATTTTTTCTAAAACAAAATCATTTGAAGGAGAAATTAAGGATGCAAAAAAGAGCAGTTTTTCATCTGATATCCAAACACTCATTAAACATTAATTTCCTTTGAATTTTCTTTATGAATTATTAATGAGTTTGAGTTATCAAAAATGTTTCCAGGCTGTTATTCTTGCCTCTGCATAGAATTTGTCAAAACATTTGTCTGTTCATAGACAGTTTCAGAATATATTCTCATAGTATGATTGTTTGTTTGTTTGTTTTTTAACGATGCTTTTTTTTTTTTTTTTTTTTTTTGGGGGGGGGGGGGGGCGTGTAA